AGAGAGAGAGACGATTCCTATTAAAAATTAGGGGCGTATGACGAATTTGATGTAAAAACCTATAGAATTGTGTAAATTAAATCCACCATATATATCTCATATACATCTCTGTCTAAAACCTTTACTTGAAAACAGAATAGATTTCAAACTATAAAGAATTTGAAATATTTTTAGATTAGATCATAAATGATTGGATAATATCACATCAATAAAAGAATAAATTCCAATTAGCATAAACTAAAGTTTTCTTTAATTATATTTGGTCTATACATATTAATTAACTAATAAATGTCGGCAATGAAAATAATATGTTTTACCAAATAATTTCGGCACAATTGAAGCGAATGAGTTATGGAATAAATTCTTTTTAGATTTAAGAAAGAGTTTGCTATTATCATGAGGTATGGAGACAATATATTGTGGGGGGCAGGCACTCAATCAAAATTTCCCAAGCATCATCCCAAATAATTTGGTGATGAAAAATTGACAAATAACGAAAACAATATTAACATAAGTTTTATTTTGTTTTTGACATAACAATATTAATATAACTACACAAAGAACTAAAAAGAGGGAATCATATCGAGTGCATGGTAAGATTAGTTCGTCCTTGTGTTACAAATAGTTGAGAATTTTTATTTTTGTCCATGAGATGAGATTACTTTCTCTACTCTGACCAAAATCTTTATAAATTGAATGTATTTGCTTTTTGTTTGGTTTGAGTAAGTTCGAGAGAGGCCTGTCTCTTACATTTTCTTCGAAGCTATCATCATATTCATATATACGATGAGCTTTTTTAGTATTTGTAAAAATACAACTTTTTTTTATTGGGTGCTATTGTTTTGTTGTCCAATCAATATATTACCAGCTTTGTGTTATTTCATTTGTCTAATCCATTACCATATGGGCCATATCTCTTCCAGGAATCTTTTGTTCGTTTGTAATTATTGCGGCAAGAAAAATATAACAATTTCATGGAAAATGGTCTGATAAATCTCATGTCTCTCACATCATATATATGATGAATGTTATACAAATTAGAATTCTAAACAAAATCTAATACGTACTTATTATAATTAATGTCACATAATTTGTTAACAAAAAGAAAAAGAACTTCATTATAGGATTATTAACGGGCGAGTGAAGGTCTTTTGAAATAAAATGAACAAAAAGTTGCAAAAGTAAGTAATATATATTTGTATGGGCAACTTCGATTTCAGCATTTATACCCAAAAGATTACCCTAACATGTTTAACTAGAGACTGTAACAGGCCGCAAAGGACAATCAGAACTACAACAGATCGATTACAACTTACAATAGAAAGAGAAGCCACAAAGCTTGTCAGACAATGTGCGTTTGCAACAACTCCATAAGTCCTCTTTGTTTTGCTAAGAACTCGATAAGTCTTGAGGGCCGCAAATGATAAGAATGTCTTCTGACGGAATGGGTTCAAGAACATGCTTCATTGTTCATTGCTGACCTGACGGAATGGGTAGAAAGTTTGTGTTGCTTTACCGACAAAATAATATTGTGAATTAGACAACCATAAAAGTTAGATTTGTTAACTATATTTTCACTCACGTCGGTACTTAATATTATAGCGAAACAGTTAGGTTTAGCTTTGTCCTCGTAAGATGGTTGTACTTTTGTTGGGCCAAATAAAAAGGCAACCAACCCAACAACTTTTATTGTGATGACAATATAATCTTCAACATAACAAAAAAAGTTATAGTGCGGCCTGACATGCGTATGTAAATGCCTAAATGGGCTCTTTTTCTAAATAGCCCAATTCGTTTTTTGGCGCCATTTAGACCGGCAAACTATTTCAGACGGTTTGATTTACGAGCAAGACTGCAGGCTGCAGGATTTTTGAAACTTTTGAGCTTTCAAAGTTCATCGAAAATTCAAATTCGAAATGTGAACCAAACCAGAACGTAGAATCAAAGGAAACTTTCAATCAAACGTATATATCAACAACAGAGACACTGAGAGAGAGAGAGAGACAGGGCATTGCATTCCTTATTATAAATAAACTCAACAAAATACGTTGAAACAATTTGTTTTCGTGTTGTATGCCTAAAGCATGAAGCTTTCTTTTCAAAAAGATGAAACAAAAGCTCTACACAAACATTGGAAACACTGAATTCAGAATAAACACAAGACAGAGTGACTGATAGAGAATTAACCTCAAGGAACTGTTGCGATGCTCTATTGACTCTTCCTTGCAAGATTAGTCCATTCAGTGTGGTACGCACCAGGACGATCGGTTCTCTCATATGTATGAGCTCCAAAGAGATCTCTCTGCGCCTGAACCAGATTCGCAGGTAATCTGGCGCGTCTGTAAGTGTCAAAGTAGGCTAAACTTGAGCACATTCCTGGTGTGCTTATCCCAGCAGAGATGGCTAAACCCACCACTCTCCTCCACGCAACTTGCCTCTGAACCATCTCTTTTGCAAAATCAGGATCAACCACTAAGCTTGCCAAATTCGGGTTTCTCTGGTAAGCTTTCTTGATCCTGTCCAAGAAAACCGCCCTGATAATACACCCACCTTTCCAGATCCTAGCCATTTCACCCAAATTCAAATCCCAACCTTTCTCTAAACTCTTAGCCCTAAGCAAATTCATCCCTTGGGCATAACTACAGATCTTCGAAGCATACAAAGCTTGCCTCACATCATCAATCAACCTCTTCTTATCAACTCCACGAGACGCAGAACCGATATCCTCTTTCAATCCAGCTTCTTCCAACACTTTCGCAGCATTTTCCCTCTCATCCTTCAATCCACTCAAGTACCTACAATCCAACGACGCAGCAATAGTGGGCGCCGCAACAGAAAGCTCAGCCGCCTGCTGAACTGTCCATTTACCAGTACCTTTCATACCAGTCTTATCCAAAATCTTATCCACTAACTCTCCATCACCATAATCATCCTTAACCCTAAATATATCCGAAGTAATCTCAACTAAGAAACTCTCAAGCTCACCTCGATTCCACTCAGTAAAGATATCCGCAAGCTCATCATTACTCAATCCACCAACGTTCTTCAACACATCGTAAGCCTCAGAAATCAGCTGCATATCACCATATTCAATCCCATTATGAACCATTTTCACAAAATTCCCAGATCCACCTTCTCCAATGTAAGTCACACAAAGACCATCCTCAACCTGAGCAGCAACTTTCTCAAGAATATCTTTAACATTGTTATACGCAGCGAAGGATCAACCAGGCATAAGCGAAGGACCATTACGAGCTCCTTCTTCACCACCAGAGACTCCCATACCCAAATAAAGCAATCCTTTCTTCTCAGCTTCGACGATTCTTCGCTCTGTGTTCTGATACCACTCATTTCCACCATCGATGATGCAATCACCAGGCTCCATGTACTCGGAGAGTGCTGAGATTGTTTGGTCAACGGGAGCACCGGCTTTGACAAGGATGATGACGGATCTAGGTCGTTGGATCGAGAGAACGAAATCGCGAGGAGAGTATTGACCAGCGACTGGGAGCTTTCCTTCGTCGGAGGCACGGTCTAGGGTTTCGTCGACTTTGGAAGTGGTTCGATTGTAGACTGAGATTGGGAATCCTTTCTCGGCGATGTTTAAGGCCAGGTTTTGGCCCATGACTGCGAGACTAGCGAGACCTATGCGAGATAGAGCGGCGGACTCCATTGTTGAGAGATAGAGAGAGAGGTTAAGGTTTAGACGGAGGTTGGTGGTGATGAGGGAGAGAGAGAGTGGCGGAGATATTTATACGGTGAAAGTGACGGATTCGTCGATGGAGCCAAGAGACAAACCAAAAGGCTTTTGATTTAACAAACTGGTGAAGCGTTTTTATTTGTTTTAATCTCGTTTTGTTAGGTGAAGAAGACGCTGACTTATTACGACGTCGTTTCTGGTTACTTTAGTTTAATCTTTGAACTTTTGATTAAACCGAATTGAATTGGTCCGATTTAAAATAAAAAAACCATAGAACCGGATCAGTTTTATAAAAAAGAAAAACATATATAGCAGAGCCAGGTTTCGATCCTGGGACCTGTGGGTTATGGGCCCACCACGCTTCCGCTGCGCCACTCTGCTATTATGGTTATTGATTTCTAAATTTATTATATAATTTAATCATGAGTTAATTACGAGATCGGCATTTAATCGGATGGGTATTGTCTAATATGGCATTTTTGTCCGTCCTTCTATATATAGGCATTTTCCTATATAGTAGAATTACATATCTAGCCTTCTGTTTGCTCTTCCTCTTCTATACCATCTTCCGACTGCATCGACGCTTCTAAACTCTCTCTCTCTCTCTCTCTCTCTCTCTCTCTCTCTCTCTCTCTCTCTCTCTCTCTCTCTCTCTCTCTCTCTCTCTCTCTCTCTCTCTCTCTCTCTCTCTCTCTCTCTCTCTCTCTCGTTCCCAAGAAGCGAGAAAGCCAAAAGTAAGAAAGAAAGGATGCTTCCACGAGTTTAAAGTTGTGCCTAGGGTTTCTCCTATCAATTCCAATTAAATCGACCGTTTAAAAACTAAACCGTCTAACCCAATTTTGTTGGTGTAGATCGACACCCAACACTGGTGTCGGTCAACACCAACAAAATTTCAGAATCAGGTGTTACACGATAAAAAATGTTAAAAATAAATAAACCCGAAAACATTCTCTGCGCTATAGCGCGGATCCGAACCTAGAGGGTCAAATAAAAGTTGCATTGTATTTTCGCAAAATTCGATTTCAGTTAGGGACAAAAATAGTAGATAAACTAGACAAGAACACGTGATACAACACGGATTATATTTTATATTACAGAAAATTTTGTATAGATTATGGGAGAATTTCAAAAATGTACTTTTTCCAATACCACTTTTTAAAGTTTTATCAAAAAGTTACTAAAAATTTGAAATTTATCATATGTGTAAGCTTGTATATATACACACAAATTATCTTTATATGTGTGTAAATTTATATATATATTTCATAAATACTGTATAAAAACCTATTAAAAATCATTTAAAAACCATATAAAAACCTTGTAAACCTTTTAAAAATGTTATAAAAGCATTAAAGCTTTACTAAATATTTAGATTGAGTCTCCAGGTAGTAATGATGATCTAGATGTACTTTATAGACTATATAAAAATTTACAATTTTTCATATTTGAAAAAGGGTATTTTTGAAAATGGATAGGAAAGGGGGGTATTTAAAAAAAGGAGTACACCAAAAAGGGCATTTCTCAAAAATTCTCAAGATTATATTTTCAAACAAGATTTTGATATCTTTTACTAGTTTATATATTTTAGTTATATAGTAGATCAGTACACGAGCTATAGCACGGTTATATTTTTTTAAAACCTAATTTTATATAATTTATATTTTAAAACAATGTTTTGGTATGTTATGTTAATTATAGGTATTATCGACATATGTTATAAAGACCATAATTCAT